TTTTGATTTTAACAGTTTTTATTTTTATTTTGTGCCCAAAAGTAAAAAAGTCCCCTTTTAATTTTCATTTTCTGAAATATTTTATTTTTACGCAGCGACATCTAACCAAGAAATGTTTCAATTCAATATCTCGTTCTTGTTTCTAGTACTATGTATTAGTTAAATTTTTTCGCTCAGTTTCAGGAAACAATTTAGTGACTCTATTACCGACATCTATTTTGAAATATGAGTAACTAAATGAAATTTTCATTTGAAGTACTCAAAATATTCAAAGCCAAAAACCTATATAAACGCCCAATATAAGTATTTAATACTGAGAATATATTAATAACTTTTAAGTTTGTAACCAAACCAATTGAAAATGCTTGAAAATGCAAGTCGACTAGAAAATATATTCTTTAATTTTATTCAGTATAGATCATGTTTTTATTTTGAGAAAAATCTAGGCGACTGACAATAATACTCGTATTACAAATTATAGTGATTGTTGATTGATTGTGAAAATTCATATTAATTTTTCTCAATTAATTAAATATATGTAAATATGAAAATTCGACACAATTATTGACATCCCAATTGCTATAGCGCTTTTCGAATATTTATAATTATTAATCAGAAAAATTAATAATGGATTCTAATTATCTGTTTATTACGCAATAAATTTAAATTTATTGGTAAGCTTAAATTCAATTTTTTTTTTAAATAAATAAGTGTTAGAATCTCACGACACCTAGAACATTTTTATATACTTTTTGAAGGTAACTGCAATTTTTGGTGTTACTTTTGCTCTTAATTTGCGTTGGATATAGCACACAAAAGAAATTTTTTCTGTTTTTGTCGAAATACCATATTTTCGTATTTATAATTGTATCCATTTGGATACACTTTTGCTTTCAAATTTAGCTGAAATGTCGAAATTGGCTACATTTTAAAATTTTGCTGAAATATGGATACATACATTTCTTTCTCGAACACTAAATATGTAAATGTTAGAAACTTTTAAAGTGCTACTATAATATTAAATCGCGAAATTGCTTTATCTTATTCTTATTATATTTATTTCATAGTGAATCTTCGTTAACTTTTAAAATGTAATAGGAATTGCGTGTGATTTCTTAAAGAATTTAATATAAATAAGGAAACTCACATTGTTGGATAAAGCACATTAATATTACTTATGAGTTTATTGGTATAAAATAAGACGACTTAGTATAATAATTCTACTTTAAGAGACTGGATACACTTTGGGTATATTTTGTTCTCGGAATTGGATACATTTTGTTTTTACTGAGTGGGAACAACTGAGTGGGAATGAACACTATTAATTGGAAACTACATACATACATAAATTTTGAAATATTACGATTAATGCTCAAGGTGCGTTGTGTCATATAAGCATTTTAATTTTAATTTAAAACTTCATATATTTTTGAGTTTAACAAAACTAATAAATTTGTTAATTAATTACCTTTTATTTTATTTGCAAAAATTTAGAAAACATCAAATTTTTTTGTTGCTTTTGCAAATCTTCACCTTATAGTTTGTAATATAAACATTATTATTCGTCAGTACTAACTATAGTTTAAAAAACAAAAAAATATTTTGATATTTTTTAAAAAATAAATGTTTTGATCTTGGTATTGGTAAAGCTGCTCTAGGGTCTGCATTTTTTTCGAACTTAAAATATATTTTAACTGTTACATTCTTTTTTTTGTATATTTCGTTTTGCTATATTTTTTTTTGGTTTTCCGTAGAACTTAACCCAAATTTTTTAGTCCGTCGTACTAATAAACATTCTCTTATACTTACTGTTCACAAATTTCTTTTTCCTTCCTCATTAAATGATGCCGATTCTGTCTGGTAGCTACACTTTTCTCGTCTAAAAGATAATTGAATCGCTTAAGATTAGTTTGCATGATAATTGATGCTTGACTTAAGCAATTTGTTTAATAATATATTTATGTTATATGATCCCATAGTAACTGTGCAAATAGAAGAACACTGTATTTTATAATATTATTTAATTTATCATTACGAACTAAAAAGTTTACAGTTTCCTATACTATGCCAAAACCAATTTTATACATCTAAAAATTCTGAATGCGAAATTGTAATTTAAAGATAATTTTTTTCCAAGCTGTTTGTATTAATGTAGCTTATAATAGGGTAGAGTAAACACAGTTTCAAATGCATCGAAAAATAATATGAACTAACAACAGCAAATTTAAAATTGTTTTTAGTTAGCATACTTATTTTTTAATATTTTCATTATAGGAAAGAAAAAGTTTACATAGTTTTTTTGATTCGAAATTTCAACAATGAATAAATTAGAGGATTATTGATAATTGTTATAATCAAACACTTTATGATTAAAACCAGTTACTGTACCTAAAGAAAAACCAATGTGTTTTGTGATGAATTGGATTGTTTGACTGAGCATGAAATTGAAAGTATAAAACTATTGTTGAACTAAAAATTATAAATATTAGTTTTAACAACATAGCACCTAAAATAATAACAAATATTAAATATTTACAAAAAAAATAGTGCATGTATTGAAAATGATTCTAAAAAGAGATTTCTAAACATTTTTCGAAACTAAAAATCTTAAATATTATGCCATACTTATTAATGATGGAAATAAATATTAAGTTTTTAAAAGTATGTGATTAAGATTCTGTTGATTCAAACAAAATTGAGTGAGAATTGAAATACTGTACTACAACAGGAGCATAATTTTTTGGTATTTGTTAAGAACTAGTTTTAGTTACAGTAAATAAGCATAAGTAGATAACTACTTCGTTTTTCTTGCAAGTACCGGTTATATAAATTTTTTTAGCAGCTCAATCTCTACCTCTATTAAATTTTATACTCAACCTATTGTATTTTTAAACGAATTAGTTACATTTTAAAAACATTTTATGATTAAGATTTTTTTAATGAAAATTTTTTAAATTTTATTTTTACTAAACTATGAATTTATCATATCTATATTAAAATTCGAAATATTGACCTGATCTTTTTAAGATTTTCTCTTAAGTGGTTAATTGTTTCAGCATTGAACTATAATAATCAGAATTTTTTCTTGTTTTACTAATTCAAAGGTGCATAAAACCTAATTTTTAAAATTTATTTTTATTTGTTGATGTGACAATTTAACATTTAATACAATTATTTTCTGCTAATTAAAAAATAAATAATAGATGGGTAAATAAATTTTGAAGAACATTCATAAATTTTTGATTATTCAATTTTATCCGTAGTAGAAATCACTCAACAGTTAGAATTAAGATTGCAAATAATTCGGATACGAATAAAATTTAAAAAAAAATATTTATGAATAAATTGTAGTTTTCTGCAATCATACTATTAAATTTTAAATTGATTAAAATATTTTTATTTTTTGGTAAAGAAGAATGTTCACAATGGCTTTATTATCAATATGTATTAAGCTATATATGTTAAATGTATTACAATTTTCAAAACTACGTCCTTTTTGTATTGTAAAAAATCAAACTTTTCCATTTATAACACCACCAAATACAGTATCTACAGCTGCTTCAACTTTAACAACAGCATCAGTAACAACTATGTCATCATCAGCAGTGACAACTGCATCGACCAGTAGGTCAACTTCTACTCCATTGACTACTACAAATTCACCAAGCACAACCGCTTCTGTGACAAGTACCACCGCAGCCGTAACAACTGTAATTAATACAAGACAAAGAAAAAGAAAAGCGCAGAATTTTAAAAATGGCTATGAATACATAAAACCTCAAAATTCGAGTTGTCCAAATGTAATTGAATATTGTTTACCAAATCGAAACAAACCCACACAAAATTGTCCATGTTTTGATTTAAGGACATCTACTTTTAATGGCAAAAAATTTCCAGGTAAAAATTAAATAAAATAAATAAAAAAAAAATAATATGTTCGTAAATTTTTAAATTAGTAAATAGTTAAATTGGTTCGTAATATTTATGAAAATTTAAGAGTTTTTTATGTATTTAATGTATATATTTATTTAAAGGCCGAACATGCACTGGTCCTGAAAAGGATATAGGATTTTGTACAAAAATTACTAATTGCCCTCTAATCATTGAAGAATACTACACAATTTTAAAAAAGCGATTAAATATTTCATATGAAGAATTCATAATATTGTCCAAATGTAGAGAAACAGAAGATCAGGTTTATTATTTTTATAATTTAATAATTCTAATGATCTTAATTTTATTTTTTTATTATATTTTAGATATGCTGCCCTATTAGAAATCGATGAAATTCCACGCCAGTAATAAAACACCATTTTTTTTATTTTTTATCTTAAACAGAAATATAAAATCTATTAAATAATTATTTTATTTTCTTAAGTCCTTATAATTAGTCTAGTTGTTCTTCTTTTTAAATAGTAATGTAAATCTTTCATTGTAAAAGCCATATCAAAATTAAAAATATATTTTATATTACCAGTAATTTAAAATATTTTCTTTTACGAAAAGTGAGTTGAATAGAAGCATAGAAGATAAAAGAATTGTGCCTCGGGCTTATTTTATAATGTAAAAAATAAAAATAACAAAATAAAATGGAATATGTATTATACACTGAAGTTTATTATAAGATTTAAGTTTAATTGTTCAACTGGAAAGTCAGCAAGTTGATCACAACATTTACTCGTAAGTTAAGAACATCATTTTTATTTTACTATTGCGCCTTTCTTTGGTAAAAGACGGTTTTTCTTAATTATTGTTTGTTTATTTCAATTAAGGTTTTTATCTTATATTGTTAGTTAACTCTTCTGGGTTTTTAATGCAAAATATTGAAATTGTATTCATCTTTTTGTGACAAAATAATGACATAGACCTGCATAACATTACAATAACTTTTTTGAAAATAAATTTAGTAGAACATATTGGAATAATAATTTCATACTCAGCCACAATACATTCATATAAAAAATAAAACACATTTAGTTTTTGTTTCCTGAAAAGAAAATTTTATTTTTTATAAAAATTTTTTTTTATACCTTTTTTTATTATTTTATAATATGCATAATAATAATAATAAAAATGTTGTCAACAATCTGTTGTATCGTAAACTTGTTGTTTATAAAATTTTTAAATATGTTTTAAGCTAAAATCATTCAAAGTATTCTTCTAAACCTGTTTTAAAGAAAACTTAGAAAAAATTATTTAAAAATATTCCCTTAACTTTTTAAATCATTGTAAGGTTTCCATATCCCAAAATACGTACAATAAATGATTAATATACAAGCTGACAATTTTTTTCTTGTTTTACAATTTACTATTAAATAAAAATGATTCTTTTTTTTAATCTAAAAATTATAATCTATTAATGTAATAGAAAAAAAATTATATTAAATTTAAGAACAGCCTATAGGCAATTATTTTTGTTTTAGAATTTCAACAAGTTCTATTTAATAAAATTAATTCCAACATAATAGTTTTTTAAACCAAGAAGTTTTATCCTGTGAAATTCAATATCCATATAAAACTTATATTTAAAGATATCTCCTATATATAGCTATTAATTTCAATCAAAATTATTATAATAGAATTTTATTTTTTCGTTCATTTTGTTGTACCATTTTCTTGACGGATTCAATTACTTTTATATAAAAAGTGAAATAAAAATTCAATTTATTTCAAAATTTTGAAATTATCGTACACATTTCTTAACATAAAAATTGAATATAATCTCAAAATTTTGCAAAATATTGAACATAAAATGTTATTATTATTTTTTTAAACATTTTTCTTTCATTATTTCTTTCATTTTTGATATTGAGTACATTTTTATTAAAATTATTTAGGATTCTATTTCTCTAGGCACTTTATATATTTTTAAAAATAGGTACACACTTTCATAGCTTTTTAATTTTTGTTTGATAATATTTTTAGGATTCTGTTGTTATTTAAATCGATTAAATTAAATTTATAAATAATTTATAATCAATTGTAAATTGATTTAATTTGATATGCATAATAAATTTATTGTAAAATTAAAAAATTAGAATACAAAAAAATATTTCATTTAAGTAAATATTAATTTCTATAATATATTAATTCATTATACTTTAATTATATTTTAATATAAGAATAAAAGATCAAGTTAAAAAAAATATAAAATTATAACTACAAAACAAAATATTCAAATTACTGCTTTTTTATTATGAGACTTTGGACAATTTAGCCATAGATCTGCAATATTTTGTAATGTCTTTTTTACGATAAAGATATTGAATAATTATTTTTAATTAATAGTATAAAAATTATCTTTTATTTTAAGTAATATACAAAATGATGATAATAAAAATTTACTATAACTTAAGACAATTTATATTTTTTATTATCTAGAACGAATTTTTTTTTTAAATATTTAGAATCTATAAAAATCTAAAGATAATTATATTTAAATTAAGTACATTTAATGCAAAAAATTACAAAAACGTCCTAGTAAAAAATTAATTAAGTAATTAATTAAAAAATATTTTCCTAAAATTTATGGAAAACCTTCTTTAATATTCTTTAAATAATTTCGAAATGATTGCCTCACACACATCTTGACAATATTAAATACTTATAAAAAATATTCAATATTATTGTAATAATACTATAACAAGAAATTATATCTAAAATATAAAAATTAAAGTGAAATTAAATTATAAAAATAATAATTTTTTTAGTTATTATTTAAAAATCCAAAAAGCCATTATATGAAACTTATTTTATGTATTAATTTTATATAAAATAACAACAAAATCCTAAAAATTTTTTTTTACTTTTTCAGAAAGATTCTTAAATGATTTCAAATTATATACATATTGTTTTGTTATTCAAATCAATATAAGTTTGATTTACGTTAAATTTCTATTTAAAAGAAGTTATTTCTTTTAAACTCTTTCATACTATTATATCAAAATTTAAATTCAATTTTAATTGATATAAATAGTTGAAACATTTTATCCTCACTAATACGTTTCTTACATTTCACGATTTTTCATTTAGACAAACCTCTTAAACCCTTGAATGCTTCAAGCATTCTTTATATTATTGATTAGATACAAATATTTTTTCATAATCATTCAAGTTTTTCAATTTCGGGTCAATTCTATTTCATTTTTTTTTTCGATTTGTTAACGAACCAATCAGAAGATTCGAAAAGATTTGAGAATCTTTTTGATAATTTCATAAGCATTTTTTCTGAAAAATGCTCTTTAAGTTTAATGATAAATATGAGTACTATAAAATTATCATATTCATTGTTAAACTTTTTTACAAATCTCCCAATTCTGTGTCATTTGTGAGATATTCATGAGGGTAAAGTCGGAAACAGAAAATAAATTTTTTAACTTTTATATGAATGTTGGAAATAAAAAAATACTCCTTATAAAAATTTTAATTTATTAATTTGGTAAAAACTAAATTGTTTTTCGAAAAATTTTATTTCCAAAATTCAAATGTTATACGAAGCAAGACTATATATATTAAAGTAAGCAAATTATAGTAAAGGAATATATCAAACAACTTCAAGACTTACAAGTTTTGCTCAAGACTTTTCTCTTTAACAATTTCTCGTTAAGGTTGTTGTTATATTAAGAATTAAAAACAATTAAAAATAGTACTTGATTTTGAATTGCCCTTATTTTGTTTGGTCTAGACCTAAATTTTCTAAATAAATTTTGTAAAATACAAGTAATTATAATTAATTAAACAATAAATTGATCTGCCTTAGCAATTAGGTTCTTTTTTTCAATTCGGGTTTTCCCAAATTTTTCTAAAATTAAGCTTTTTAAAAACGATTTCCTTTTCAGGAACTTATCTTCTTAATTTCATCTCTTTACATCTATCTATATCTACAACTTAAATACATTACTATGTATTCTTTCTCATACTTTTTGTTTTATAATTTAATTAAGCGGAAGTTTTTGAGATTCGTTTTGTAATAGAATTAGTGATATATTAATATAACGATTAATTATTTATTCATATTATATTTTTAGTAATCTTACAATTTTAAATATTTTATTGCTGTTTAATATTGTCTTTTTAATCACTAAATTTTCAACTACTTCCGCTAAAAAAAATTATATTAGAACTATTATCTTTCCCTCCCCTTTTTTGTGTTCTTGACCTGTTAATTTTTAACGAGTACAATATTGTTCTGTTAATTGGTTATTGATATTTGTTAGCCATATATGGTAAGCCTAACCATAAAAAAAAAAACATTTTATCAAAAAACTCAATTAATCATACATTCTTAAATCTGATTGCAAATTTAAATTTTAAATGTTAATATTCTTAACAGTAATAGGCAGGCGACCCATAATGATAACTTAATATCCTAAATAACTAGCTCAATAGTTTTATATTTTCTAGGCTAAAAAATATTTTTCTCAAATAAGGGAGAGGATCAGTTCTTGAGTTAAGATATTCTTAAAGTTACACACAAAAAACCTGTTTGACACAAGTTTTATAATCACGAAAAAACTAATAGCATTTCCTGAAGTTTCTTCATATTGGTGGAGGTCCTCTTACATATCTTAATTGCGGAGTAAAACTCATTGAAAAGTTATTGAAAGAATCACAGCAATGAGGTTGCATTAAGCACGCTGCACAAAATAATGTCAATAACGCTAATTGCATTGGTAAAGCAACACGAGCAACACGCCATGACCAACTTCGTTTTCCTTCTGATTCGTCATCGCTGCTATTGCAAGGATCCCATCCATTAGGTTTAGGATCATCTGGATCGCCAGAACCACCATTACCAGTTAGTAAGAGCTTTCGTGATGAATTTCCTTTGTTGCGTCTATCAGATTTTCTAGATTCGTCCTTCGCATCAGACAAATCATTATCGCCTGAATCAGAGTCTCCCAACATACTACCATTTCCATTTTTATTAACTTTCCTGGCTTTGCGTTTTTTAGCAGATTTTGATGGAGAAATTTCTTCCACGCCTGAACCCAAACTTGTTGATTTTAATGCTAATTTTGATGGTGTTAATTTCATTTGCTCGGTTTCTGGTTGCTGCTGTGATATGGTTGCTGTAGCTTTATGCTGTTGCTGTACAGCAGTTCTAACAATTATTTCCCGACATGTGGTTTGCAACTTTTTTAGTTCAGCCTCAGCTGCTTCCATTCTAGCTGAAATAGATTTTAAAGCTTCACTACCTGGTGCCAAAGCACTTTCTAGTTGTTTTGCCAAACGTCGTAAAACACCTAAACGACGTTCACGTTCTGATAAACCACCGTCCGATGTTGTACCACCATCTGAAATACCGCTATCAGATAGAGATCCGTTCGATGCGGCAAATCTTGTTATATGAATTAGCTGATGTGGATCAATTTGTTGTTCTTGGGCGACTTGAGCGATCTTAAAATGAGATATAAATAAAATTATTTGTGAAAAAACTTTATTGGTAAATACGCACCTGTTGCTTAGCATTATCAACTTTTTCTGAAAGTAATTTTGCAACTAATTTAACATTTTGCGCAAGATCACTAGCTGAGCGACCGTTTTCCAAAGCACCTTCTAAACCAGCCAACGTACCACGATCTTTTCCTAAAACTTGATGAAATTCTGAAAGACCATTTTCTAACTGTCTCCAAGCATTTAGAGATCCTTGCAAAGTTTCCAACTTAGAGTTAATTCTAAAAGTAAAAGCGAAAAAATCATATTAAGCAAATCAATTTTTTCGACCAACGATAGTTAATAAAGTGAACAATTTGCGGAAAACATTTAAACTTTCTAAAAAAATTTTGAATTAGAGTTTTTATAATACACACCTTGCATCAGCTTCGTCCCAAGATTTATACATTTCACTAACTTCATCCTTCAAATGTTTATGAAATTCATTTTCTGATTGTATAATATCTATAAGAGAATGACTTTCCATATTCATTGTGACTATCTCACATTGTTTCTCTTGTTTGCCTTCACTTAAATCATTTATTTCTTCACAACCTTTATTATCTTGTTGTTGCTTTTCTTGTTGTATTTTTAAATCATTAGATTCCTTTAAAGCTTTTAATTCTTTTTGTACTTTCATTTCTTGTCGAGTTAGCCAACTATGGACAGAAGCGTTCAACCGAAGCATGTCTGTACGATAAGCTTTTAAAGCAGATTTTTCATTCTGAAAATAAAAATACAAACAATTCAATAAAATTTTGTGCTAAAAATAAGAGAATTGAAGAATTGTTCGCGTAAAGTTGTTAAAGAAAAACGTTTTTTATAGAAAATTAATAGACCTTGAAAAGAAATATTCAAAAAATAAAATATTGAAAAAATATGTTTTGTTTTATTTTTTACCTACATATGTACATATTTATAGCTATTTGTTTTTTTTTTTCTTTTTTTTAATAATCAAGATTTCTTTTCAGATAATCTTGATACAAACCTTAAATTCTTCAATTGATAACTGAATTGAAGATTCGGAATCTAAATCGGTTAATTGTTTGCAACCTAAACGATTCAACATGTTTTTCAATATGAACATTTCTTCTTGCATTTTACGTGCAGCACCGGCATTTTCACTCCAAGCTAGGAATGTTTCCCATGATGAAAGTAGCTCTGAAAGTAAATAAAAAAACAAGTTTAAATAAATAGAAATAGCTATTTTTTTTCGTTTTTTATTAAGTTTTATTTTAAATTTAATTTGTTTTTCTCAATATTTTAGAACAATCAAAAGAAAATTAAGGTTTGCCAATTACAAATTCCTCGAGGGCAACAACAATGGGAATTTTGAAATTATCAGTTATTTGATTGCAATTTATGATTTAATATTGTAGTTTACTATAGTGAAATAAGTGCTTTATGAACATATTTGTGTATATTAAAAATTTATTTGGACATGCCAATGAAAGGCGTAAAACATATTCTTAAAAATAGGCATATTCTTAGCATTATAGATTGTGGTTTCAGCAACTTATACCTATTAATTTCGAAAAATTTAAATCTAACAAATTCACAAATGGGTTTTTAATTTACAAGATTTAATTTGAGGTTTTAATTTACGGGCCACTCAAATTATTTACGGGAAAAGTAAGAAAACTGGTTTTGTGAAAGAAAAATATTTATCTTGCGCAAAATTTTAAATTTTAATAATGTAATTTTATTTAAATATAATGAAACTTAAAATTTACCTTAAGTTTATTTGTCAAAAGATTTGTTTATCAAACTGAACAGGTATTGATGACATTCAAAATTCAAATTTACTGTTTTTAATTTAAAATTAACACGATATGCAAAGCTTCAAGTTCCGCTGCTATTTTATGTATGCAAATAAATTCAAGTCAAACCATTTATAATAGGCAGGAAATAGTTTGTATATGCACAAAAAAATATGTTTATATACATTTGCAAATTTTTTGGTATTTATGTAATCAATATTAAATAACACTATTTTAATTTTCTTATATCACGTATTATTTTCATAATGATTTTTGAGATGACGACCAAAAATATTAAGAGAAAATTAAAATTAAATTCGTATACTTATGTACTTATGTACTATCTATTACATTTGTTAATTTTTTTATAGATTTTTCAAAACATGGATTGTGATCAATAAGTTCGAAATTAAATCAAACATATAAGTATAAGATTTTGTACGAAAATATAAAAATTCTAGTACAAACTTGATGTGTTTTTGTTTTTGCAAGTTTATGAACAAGGGTACATGTACACTATTCTAAAATTTAATTTAACCGCACTAAAAAAATTAATGTGAAAATTACTTCCGCCAATTTTTAATTTTTGTTTCCAAAAATAAAAATTTTATTACTTACGTACTAATTCTTATTTAGCGCAAAGAATTTGAGGCAAAAAAGACATTACTTGAATACTTTTTTTTTTTTTTTTTTTTTTTTTTTTTTTTTTAATGTTTTATTTATTCTGTCACATATGTTTTTTACAAAAGTTCAAATAAAACTAAAATAACTTTCTAATAATAATCTTAAATTATTTACAAATGCACATGGCTAATGCTCTAGCTCTCTCATTTATTTCTCGAAATTTAAATGCTAAGGCCATTTTCTACCTGCGATAATATTTTTCAAGTTTAATACGATAATATGTTTAAATTAGTATTGTAAAATAATAATAATTTTATGTTTACTACACTGAGAAAAAAATTTAGTGAAAAAAAATTCAGTTTTCTTTTTTTTTTTGGAGTAGTATAAAATATTTAACCTATAGCTTAAAAAAATATAAATAAAAGATAAACAAAAACAAAAATAATTTCCTTGAAAAAAAAAAAAAAAGAAAAAAAATAAAATCTAATAAAAACTTACTTAGTCTAATTAAAAAAAAACTTATACACTAATTTTTCCAAAAATAGGATTCAGATTTGTATAGTTTAATATTATGAATAATATTAGTATCGTATATAAAAAGGTTACCATTTGATAAATTGTATGTATTCAAGTCTAGTGGAATTGTTTTATTACTAGCATGTCTTTTGAAGTGATACAAAATTGGAATGAAATTAGAATTTTCAACATAATTATTTTTGTCAAGAAACACAAATCCTTCAGGAGGTATGAAACCTGTCGTCATTGAATCGCGAATATATTCATCGCTCTCATAATAAGCGTGGCCAACCAAAGAATTATTATGAACAGTACAACTCCTTTGAATATGTTTTCGAATCAGCCTAATTATGAAACTATCGATTCTCAAAGTATCAGAAGCCTCATATACCGCCTTGTTAGAATAGAAGTGGAGAAAATTAGTTTCAGGTTTTCTCATGAGATTAGTACAGATTCTGAGGCATTTCCTTTCAAATAACCTTAATTTTTCCATTGTAGAAGCACTTATATTATACCAAATTGGACAGCCGTATGTAAGAATAGGTCTAATTAAGGTTTTATAACATAGAAGTTTGACTTTAAAATCCAGATTTTTAGAGTAAAATAATTTACTCAGAGACATAAAGGCTCTGTTTGCCTTCCCTATTTGATTCTCAACATGAAGTTTGAAATTCATCAAATGATGGTATGTAACACCTAAGTATCTAACACTATTACTGTGTGGTAAAGAAATCAAACCCCCATCAGCCCTGAGCCCGAAATTTTTCCAGTGCTTTTTGATATTCTGATTTACCCTATTAATAGTGTCCCTAAATAAGATAACTTCGCACTTGCTATAATTAATTTTTAGTTTCCAGTATCTACAATATCTCGAAATTTTATTAAATTGAGTTTGAAGAAAGCACTGAACCATTTTTGGATCCGGATCAGCCGAATAGATGGTTAAATCATCGGCGAACGCAATGCTATGATTAGAACCTAACACTTTGTTTAGGCAATCAAGCAATTCGCTAATGTAAATAATAAAAAGCAAAGGAGAATTAACCGTGCCTTGCTGTAAGCCATTAGTTATGCGAAATTTTTTCGAGCTATGGTTTCCCAAACCCACAACCCTAAAAGACTTATTGCGTATCATATCGTTGACTAAGGCAACTAAGTGCAACGGGAACTTATATCTTAGCAATTTATATATTAATCCATCAAGCCATACGGTATCAAATGCTCTCTCCAGATCCACTAAACAACACCTGTTATTAATATATCTGCAGATATCTGATGAAAATTTTGTCATAGCATGCGTGGTACTATGCATGTATCGAAATCCAAACTGATTATCCGGTATGATACACTTATCCTCAACTACTCTAATAATAATACGATTTACGAATGCTTCAAAAACTTTACTAATGTTTGGTAGTAAACTAATGGGTCTATAGTTATTGATTTCTGATGCACATTTACCAGGTTTTTTAATCATAACAACTTGGGCTTCCTTCCAAGCCTCCGGAAAGTAACAAAGATTTAAACAATTGTTAAAGATTATACAATATTTTTCTATTAATAGGTCTGGAATTTTTCTAAGAATTAAAGTAGGAATATTATCAGTACCGGATGAAGACTTATTTTTTAAATTGTGTAGTATATCCTTAATAATTTTAGGAGTCGCAAAAAAACCCGCAAGTCTTTGGTCCAAATTTGGCCCATCTGAACGATTTAGATTACTAAACTTTAGCAATGTAATGTTATTTTCCTCATTATTTTGTATAAATGTATTGAAATTTTTAATAGTTTGTGCAATATTACGCTCTATTGGAGATATTCTACTAACAGTAGACTCATTTGTTTGGAATAAATGCGCTGCCATTGTATTTAAAATATCCTGTTCCTTTTCAATTACGTAATTATTATTAACACGCCTCAAATTAACAGTACTCAAGCCCGCCGTTCTTAAAAGTTGGGAATTCGAAGCAGGGATCAAATATTTTTCCGCCCTATTGGTAGTTTTTTTTCTGTACATTTTATTAATTTCAGCAAAAACGTTAAAATTTTTTTTCAGTGTAATATTTTTAATTCTATTTTCCCAAAATTTATTTGTGGATAAGCGTAAGTTTTGCTTAATTAATGAGTTAATATTGTTTAATAATGCATTTGTTCTTTGTATAACAGGGTCGCAGCTACTAACACTGAGTTTTAACAATTGAAATTTTGCGGATAGAATCTGACTTTTACATTTTCTTAATTTATTAATTAAATTATTACTATACATTTCAGAGCTATTAATATTGGTATTATATACAGGTATGGAGTATCGCATTGATGTGTGAATTATATTTTCAATTGAGTGTAGGGCATTATCTATCTCGGTTCTCGATAAATTTCTATTATTGGGTAAGTTATGTATATTAATATCCTCATTAATCAATGTTGAAATTCTGCTTTTAAATTTTTTCCAGTTTGCCTTTTTATAATTGAATGATCCCGACTCCATGGAGTCAGATACTCCAATTATCAAATCATCATTATCTAAAGATATATCCGTACTAATAGCCAAATGATCACTATCGTAAATGAGAGTTTCTAATTTACCTATGGCATCCGTTTTGAGTGCTAATCTTGGGTCAGCTAAAATGAGATCTAAAAAAGAATTATGTCTCGTGTATGAAGCCACATTAGACGCGTATAGTGCAATTTTGTATCTAACGGAATCATATTGTATTAAATTTTTTAGAAATTGGCCTCTACTATTGTGGCTAGTGTTGCCCCAAGCCTCATGTTTAGCATTCAAGTCCCCAGCAATAAGAAAATAATTTTCAGAACTAGTAACGTTCAACAAATTAAGTAGGTCAATAAATTCATTTTGAAAAAAGGAACTGTTACGCTGAGATGCGTAAACAGAAGCTATAATAAGGTTTTTCCCGTTGGAAATAGAAATTTTTATCGCACAAGCTTCAAGACACTTGAAGTTGCCGATAATGTTACTCTTAATTGTAGAAAATTTTATATTTTTTCTTATCAGCACGGCAGTGCCACCGCCTACAGTATTATCAGGCCTATCAAATCTTACGATCCTGTAATCATTAAATAAAATTTTTTGTTTACTACCTAATTTTGTTTCGCATAGTGCCATTACGTCAGGCTTATTGATATTTAAAAAATCGAGCAAAGAAAGTTGTTTTGCAATAGATCTGCATGAATTAACATTTATTGATATAAATTTTAAATTTCTATGCTGATTTGATTCACCCATGTAAGGTTTCAAAT